AACGTGAAAAATCTGATAAAAAAAACTCTAGACAGTTATTTGAATAAAATTATGAATACTGTTAATATTCGAATATCTCATTTTGAAAACAATTCTGAAATTAATAATAGGGTTCATGATATTCCCATTTCTAGAATAAAAAATAAACTCCAAGTACTCGCAGAGCGGTTTGTGTTCGTACCGGCATACAAGGCAGCCAATAATGTAGTGGTGGTATGACGCATATACTACACGGAAGTTCTTCAAAATGAAATTATCAATTCCTCTGCATTCAGGTCCGTACGCACCACTGAGAGTCAAATCGTTAACAAGCATATCACTACCACTACCCAGCTTAAAGCCTCTTCCGAACATTTGAAAGTCCCTATCATGTACTGGTTACCGAAATTACACAAAAAACCATTTAAATTCCGTTTCATCTCCGCATCTAGTAAGTGTTCTACTACTAATATATCAGTGCTTCTTACTACCTCCCTTACTACTACCAAAGAACTGGTTATTAACTTTTGTAATAAAGCTTATGAAAATAATGGTATTAATTTTTTTTGGAGTGTTAAAAATTCTTAGAGGTTTTAGATAAAATACATGCCTCCGGGTGCGGGAATTTCTCGCTGCATTGAAGACCTGTTGGTGGCCTTCTGCTGTTGTCTGTTCTATGGTCGGGTTGTTGTCTCTTTGACACATTCCCCATTTCCATTCTCAATTTTATTTTGATGTTCCTTTTGGTTCTGTTGACAGTTATCATTTTTCTACTCTCTACACTACACTTCCACACAATCTAATAAAGAAAAAATTTTCATATTTAATTAACTGGTCTTTCGAAAAATCTCATTGTAAATTTATTTGCTGTAACTCGTTTAAAGCCTTTTTCTGTGACGAAAAAGGGAAGTATGCTAGATACACTTACTGGAAATGTGAGGATATGATTGAAGCTTTAAATTTTCTCCTAGATTATATATATGTACGTTTCGGCGATAAAGTGTATCGTCAGGTAGTAGGTATTCCTATGGGCACTAACTGCGCCCCTTTAATAGCAGATTTATTCCTGTATTGCTATGAATCTCAGTTTATGACCAAACTCAGTAGAGACACATCATTGTTACATTTGGTTGATACATTCAACAATACCTACCGTTATCTGGATGATATTTTTTCGTTAAATAATCCAGAGTTCTCTAAATATACTACCGAAATTTACCCAAAAGAACTTGCTTTAACTAAATCTAACATAAACAGCAGCAGTTGTCCTTTTCTAGATTTAGACATTTCAATTTCTAAAGGGAAACTCCATACTAAAATTTACGACAAAAGAGACAATTTTTCATTCCCTATTGTTAATTTTCCTTTTTTAGACGGTGATGTGCCTTTGGCTCCATCAAACGGTGTTTATATATCCCAACTCGTTCGGTATGCCCTTGTGTGTAGTGATGTCATAGATTTTAACGATCGTAATCAATGCATCACTGATAAATTATTAAGTCAGGGATTTCGTTACCATTAATTACTTAAAACTTTTACTAAATTCTTTCATAGATACAAAGATTTGATTAGTAAATTTGGCTGTACCTGTAGAAAACTTATTAAAATGGTATTTCACATCCTAAATTTTATGGTAATATTGTACTTAAAGCGCGGAAATCATTATGTAATCCGTGTAAACTCATCGAACCTTTAAACAAACTTATAAGAAAGGGTTATCGTACCAATGTTGTAATTAGATCTATGAATATAGTTTACATTGGCAGTAATATCGATTTTGTCATTAGCAAATTAAAACATAACTAAGTTTGTATTTTCTTTTCAAACGGGATGTATAGGGACACACACACGTTTATTTTTATCTATAAAGAAGTCACTCATAACTATCCTACTACCTGTCGATACATTTATTTTTGGCATTGCACAAGTCATGTCTTCTTTGACTGTTCATGACGTTAAAATACTAAATCCCTGTGATGTATTTTAGTTGATTTTAGTCTCTGATGCATGATTTTTTATTATTAATTGTTTTGGCTTTTAACTAGCTGTCAGTAACTGCGAGTACTCTCAAATCGTACTTTCTTTTTAATTTGACCTGTTGATACTATTTGTAATGCTTTTTTGTTATTTAATGTTAACATGGATCTTGTCTATATACCAGCTTTGATAATTTGGTATCACTACAAATTTTCACTTCTTCGTACTATGAACATCAAAATTATTTCATTTTTCCTTAGATGCTGTTCTTGGACCTGTACAGGAAGTTTTATCTAGCACTAATTGTATAGTTTAATTGTTGATATTCACCCCATATGTACCAAGTGTTAGATTAGTTTTATTGATATTAAAGAAATTTCTTGGTATTCCTAAACGGAAGATTTTATACACACAGAAGAAGAAGTATACTTAACAACAAAATTATTTTCATTTACCTGTGTATAATATGACGCAGGTTTCTTCAAAAGTGATGATTTTCTAAAAATTATTTGACATTTCACAGTGATATCATACTTTAACTTTGTTTAAACCTGTTTATTTACTTCTGACTTTAATTATTTATCCCTTGTAATTTTTTATTAACTGTGTATTTGCATTCAGGTGTCACAGGTCAAATTTATTCGTTCATTGTGTGTTTATTTACGTTTTTTGATTGAGTTAAGCCTTCCAATTGATATTTTATAGTGTGTTTTTCTATGTTGTGATGTTATACTATTGTTTCAGAAAAGGGAGAAGGTTTGGTACCATTAAAACGTTTAATCCCGCTGCAAATGTTTGCACCTGTCAGGAATCTGATTACAGTAGTTGTCGTCTGTTTATGTAGTTCATACGTATTTCTCGTTTCTCGTTTTTTTAGATTAGACCGTTGGTTTTTCCGTTTGAATGGTTTTACACTAGTAATTTTTTGGGGCCCTTTATAGCTTGCTGTTCGGTGTGAGCCAATGCTCCGTGTTGAAGGCCGTACCTCGACCTATAATGGTTTACTTTTATAAATTGTAACTTGGATGGAGAGTTGTCTCATTGACACTCATACCACATCTTCCTATATCTATGTAATTTAGAATACAGATTATCTGTGCTTTAAAGTTTAGACGAATTTTCAGGGAAACTTCTGTAACTGTTGATTGAAATTGTTTTTTGGGATTCTGAAAATGGAGGGGGGGGGGAGGGTTATGTGTTAGTGTGCAATAACTTCAAATATAGACCACTGTGTCGATGCCACTGCTGGTGGAGGTATCTCCCCAAGGGTATCACCAGACCAGTATAGTCAGCACTTCTTTGTTGACATGAATTATCATTGATATGGTCATAACTATAAATAAACTGTTTATAAAACTTTGATTTTTTCGAAATATTAAGGATTCTCTTCACCAGGAATAGATTAGTAATACCTTAGCTGTATTTGGTAAAACCTGACGGAGTTTTGGGTCCTCAATGCTCTTCAACTTCAGCTTTTTTAATTTTTTTGATTCGAGCGTCACTTGTGAGTCTTTTGTAGACGAAACGCGTATTACGTTAACAATTTTCATCCTTATATTTATGATGAGTTTGCAGATATTAAAACTGGCTTTAAAAATACTTTTACTTTTAATATAGATAAAAATAATGGAGAAGCAAAATAAAAATACAATAAAATATAGATAGTCATACAGATTAAACAAATTTGGTATTAGTATTAGACTGAAGAAGATATAAATATTTCATACGTTGATAGTTGTACAGGCTGAAAAAAATATAAATATTTCCAAGTTTACAGGCTTAAAAAAACAGTAATGTTTCCAGACGTAAATAGTAACATTGGCTGATCAAAATATAAATACTTGTAATGTAGATAGTAATATTCAAGCCGAACAAAGTACAAGTAATAAATATTTAAACAAATTTTCAAAGTTATTGATGCACTCGCGTTTAAGGCTGCATGCAGAAAAGTCCAGTATCCTGTAATGGCATATTTGCGTTTCCAATTTTAGAAAACACGGTTCTGTTTTTATGTTTCTAGATTAAAATTGTTATGTTTAATTTTTTGAACATGGAAATGTGATAGTGCGGGCGAGGCATGGTGTCCTATGGACAGAGCTTATTGTAAGCATTTTCTGTGGAAATCGCAATAAAACTGGGTTAAAGAAATGGTGTTATTCATGTAGACTATTCCTGTTGGGCAATAAAACACATTACGATGAACAGACCTTCTTTCCGATCTGCGGGATGTATAAAATACATTTACCACCTGTCGTAATAGGGACGTTCAATTCGATGCATCGTGCTTAGACCTATACTTTCTGAACTCTAAAGAACCTTTCGTACTCTTAATCTTATATTAGCGTGTTGATGCTCCATTGTAAAGCTAGTTGTTTTTTTAATAGACGACAAACTATTACGAGTAATTACAATCGTCTGTGTTATATCTCGGTCGATCAACAATACAGAAACTAACTATCTGAATTATTATTTATGTTTTCGTGTCTCCTGAATATGCTTAAACTGTATGCACTGGACTATGAGAAGAAAAAAATCAGTCATTCTAGCACCATATACATTTATTACTTTTAATTACTATACTATTATTCGGTGTCAATGAACCTAGTTTATCGTAAAAAGACAGCAATTATTTTTTTATTTGAACCCGCAAAATAGCCTATAATACATTCTACGTGTAGTTTTTTTTAGCTTTAAACCATTCGGATTACAGCCGTCTGGTTTGTAATTTTACCCATTGTGTACTTTTCCCTAGTGTGACATTTTGAATGAGAGTGTATTCGCATAGCGGGTGGTGCATGCAAAGCAGGAGACGCTTACCCTGTCGCCGCAACTAGTTTCGCTCCCTTTGGAGTTCATGAGATTCCCTCAGTTTTAATTTTATCTTTTCTTACCTTGATGTGTCTCTATTTAATCGATTTGCGCGATTTAAACACCGGTAAACTAAACCAGCCTTTATTTTGGATCGGTGAAGTAGTCAGTGCCAAAACATAAAAAAGAAAAAAGAAACACTAATAATAATGAATGTGTACATTTTTCTTTCAGATATAAAGAAAATATGAAGACTATAGTGCTTGCAGTTTTGATGGTAACATGTTTTATAGGTATCTATAACTTATGAACCTATATAACTTGTTGTTGATAGTCGATTGTTCGTTGTTCACTGTTAATGACTAACTTCAGTGATAAAATATTTTATCTAAAAATAAGAAGATGTGGTATGATTGCCAATGAAGCAACTATCCACCAAAGTTCAAATGAAGTGGATGTAAGCAATTATAGGCAACCGTACGGTCTTCAACAATGAGAAAAAGCCATACCGTATAGTCGGCTATAAAGTACACTAAGAAAAACACATACCGTAAAGTCGGCTATAAAATTACCCTGAGAAAAACCCATACCATATAGTCGGCTTTAAAATTACCCTGAGAAAAACCCATACTGTATAGTCGGATATAAAATTACCCTGAGAAAATTCATATACAAATATATATATTTGTTTAATACAGGACCCATATTGAAGTCAAAAGATGTGTACATTGATGCTGTTGGGTTTTTGTTTGCACTGTGAAGTCAATATTTTCATAACAATATTCATGACTTTATTTGGATATGACTACTCTCAAAACCTTACATAAGGGACCACAAAGAATCAGCAGGGTGTATTATTTCAATTTGAAAAACAGTGTCACTGAAGAAGGTCCTTCCATTATTTCTTATCGATATCGTTACACAAATCTTTAGACTTCTTTGTCATGTTTTTGTGGTGTCGTCATTTTCCAACTATTAGGTTTTCTGGCTGGTTATATAAGAATAACGCTGTGAAAGTTTAGATCACTGGAAAATGATGTCGTGTTTGAATAAATAAGAAATTTCGGCTTGCAAAATCGACCCTCAAAATTAATATAAAAAGTTTTTGGAACGGTTTGTTTAACATGCGATAAAGGTGGTACATTTGTTATCTGTTATCTTCTGTTATCACAGAAAATCTGATTGAACGTCAGTTTATCAACAGGGCGTGAAATCGTATTACTTGTATATAACACACAGCATGCAAACGAACTCTTACCCTTTATGTTGTCTTATCAGAGCTTTCTTACATATTGACGAAAGGTACGAACGAACGTAAATGGACCATGTATTACATTTCCACGATAACACTTTGAGTCTTTGTTTTATCCGGTAAAAACAGCATTCTTTTCTGAATCAAACGTATCTTTAAAAATTTAAGCATATCGCAAATAAAACACGCTTTTAATATCTGAAAATAAAGAAAAATAGTTTCAAATACACTTACGTCCGATACTTTACTTATGTTAACCACGATTACACACATTTCATTTTGCGCGGGATTGTTTAAGCATGCGTTTCACCATTAACATTTCAATGAAATTATTGAGTATGATACTCTAAATTTAACGACAAGATTCACAATTATTTAATTATTTTTAATGAGTATGCTATCATCAAATTATCAACGTGGATCATCGAGATTTGCAAGACAAGGATGCTGCAATGTTTTGAAAAAGTAATGTGAAATAAATCTGGAAGAAAAAAGATTTTGCGATGAAGTTTTTTTCTGTTAATGTTAAGGTTAAATGTGAAAATAAATGGGGAATGCATGGGACACAAATGATGCCCCCGCTTGCATATCATATAAAGTTATAAAGGGACATAACTGAAGAACGGTAAAAGTGACTCTACCCATTTGTACTTGGTCTGAGTTTTGTGGTAATAAGTATTGTGTATAAGTTTCATAACATTTGGTTGAGGCAAACTAAAGTTAGAGAACGGAAACGAAAAATTCAGCAATGTTTCCCTTTGTAAAGGAGCATAACTCTAGAACAGTAAAAGTGACACTACCAAAATTCAAACTTGATCTGTATTTTGTAGTAATAAGCATTGTGTATAAGTTTCATAACATTTGGTTGAGGCAAACTTAAGAAAGAGAACGGAAACGAAAAATTCAGCAATTTTCCCATTTGTGAAGGGGCATAACTCTAGAACGGTTAAATTGACACCACCATAATTCAAACTTGATCTGTATTTTGTAGTAATAAGCATTGTGTATAAGTTTCATAACATTTGGTTGGGGTTAACTTAAGTAAGAGAACGGAAACGAAAAATTCAGCAATTTTCCCATTTGTGAAGGGGCATAACTCTAGAACAGTTAAATTGACACCACCATAATTCAAACTTGATCTGTATTTTGTGGTAATAAGCATTGTGTGTAAGTTTCATAACATTTGGTTGAGGCAAACTAAAGTTAGAGAACGGAAACGAAAAAATCAGCAATTTTTTCCATTTGTAAAGGGGCATAACTCTAGAACGGTTAAAGTGACGCCACCAAAATTCAAACCTGATCTGTGTTTTGTGGTAATAAGCATTCACTTTGGGTATAAGTTTCATAACATTTGGTTGAGGCAAACTAAAGTAAGAGAACGGAAACCAACTTTGGGACGTACGGACGTACGTACGGACGGACAAGGGTAAAACTTAATGCCTCCTCCGCTACGGCGGGGGCATAAAAAGTTATGACATTCTTGCGATCGTAGGAAACAAATGTGAAACGGAATAAATACTACACCCCTCCCTTCAAAGTTAATGGTCGTTGCCTTAGTATTCCACTGATGATTTTCATGGGCTGTTTTTCAACTAGTAATATCTTCAGTTAATTAAGGAATGACTGTAATATTTTTTTCTGTCTATGAAGAAATAACATCAAAAATATGATGCACACTCAATAACCCGCGTATCGGGTTATTTAAAAGTGTGCAACCGCATTTTTTAGGTTATTTCGAATAGACAGAAAACATATTACAGTCATTCCTTATGATGTAATTCTAAATTTCATTTTTGAAGGAGTAAATCATGAAAACAACGTTGATGACGTCACGTTCACAAGACAAAATTGTGTCTATAAGCTGATAGAGCAAAACTTTTTAGCCAATCAGAAGACGTGTTTATCCAAAATTAAATTATTGCTTGATACGCAACTGATTTGGGATCATTCTTTTACACGTCGTTAATTTGTTTTAATCAACTAATAATTGTAGACCAATCAGTTGTGCATTAAACATTTACAGAAGATGTAAACACGAACATGTGAAATCTAATGTCAATTCCATGGGGAGAGGGGGGACAATTTACACACACACACACCCTAACAAACAGCTTTGATTTAACTACTAGTATAGTAGGATAAATGTCCACGAGACAAAAGTAAACCAACAAATTGATGATCATCAACATCAATGCAAATAAAGTTTGATACAAGCATTAAATGAAAAAAAAGTAGAAAAACAAACAAGTTACACTCAAAAAAAGACGGAAAACTTGGGTGATTTGGAAAATTAAACCGTCTCTGTCTCTGACTTAGTTGTATACTAGAACGCACCCGCGAAATCGCGGGCATTTAGAGTGTGTTGATGGTGTGTAAACTGTTGTAGGATGAATTTTTGTAAAAGATTTTATGACTGGAGTATTTCAGGAAAGTTATCAAAAGTCAAAGGTACTTGGGGACAGTACAATTTTTTTAGCCCTCCCCTTTTTCCAAAGTCCGATATTTTTTTGTTGTTTTCTGTTAATTTCAATTATATTAGCGTTTTTTCTGTACACTATGAACATACATAATAACATATACTATATAAACAAGGTTTATTTGGTATTTATTATCAATCCATCCGGGAATTAAAATTGGAATTGATAACAAATAGCAAATACACTGTATTTATATAGTATACATGTATGTTTGTTCATAGTATACAGAAAAACGCGAAAATAATTGTCCTGTCCCCTTGTACCTATAATAGTAAAATAATGTGTAAGTTTAAGTCCTAAACGGAAGTCTTATCTATGACTTAAAAGTCAGTCCGAGGACGGAAACAATATCCGGACGTCTTTATTTTCGTTTTTCTCCCAAAAAACCCCAAACGAAATATTAATAAGCGAGGATGACAAATGCGACTATGCATGGTACCTATAGGACATAAAAGCATGATGATTGATTTAATGTGGAAGGAAGAGAAGCGACACACAAAATGAGGTCTTCTCATTTAATAGTATAGATAATAGACCAAGGCGAAGATCTAGTATAGGAGGCTAGAAATGGGTCTGCTGAGCAGATGCACTCCGGTGCGCCTCACTCTTAAATCCACCCTTGAGCTAGATTTATAGATCAGCTAATTATAGAGATTGTTTTATTCATTTAGATATACATTTTAACACCTAAATGTATATCAAGAATAAAATAAATCTACAATCTTGCACTGTATATATTTTTGATTTAATAATGACGATTAAACAGTAAACATGCTTGGGAGATTTAGGATTATTGGTCGCTTAACGTCCAGTGTCAAATATTTCATGAATGCTCAGGACGAAAACGCAATTATACGCTGATTCATTTTATTATTTTTGGGGTCGCAAATTTTTGAAGTTAGGAAGTATTTGTTTTTTTATCTTATCTCAAGTTTTGTGTGAGGGGGGAGCCAATTTATTTGCCTTTGTATTTTTTTAGGTTAAATAATGCAAAGTTGTAATTTATTTTGGTGGTGGTGGGGGGGGGGGGGGGGAGGGGATTGAGCACAATCTTTTATTTTTAGAGGTATTTTTTTTTTCTTCTGACGACCCTTTATTTAGGAAATTTTGTTCTCACGAAAAATCAAGTTTAACACGTGTCGCTGCATGTAGTGAAATGGTCCTTAATAGGCAAACATTTAGGTGAAACGACATCGAAGTTTCATGACGCTTCGATTAAGATTACATAAATATGTCAAAATAAAGGATCCCTAAAACGAGTCTTAAGTATGATTCGTCAATCGTACGTACATGTATATACCTTTCGTCAATTTGTAAGAAAGCTCTATCATGAGAATCGTATATATCAAGATATTGTATACACTTAAAGTACATTCAATAAACATTTTCAGGTAAACAGGACGTGCGTGTTGGCGCAATAACGGTACAAATGACCCCTAATCAGTGTGCATTAAACACTGCCGCAATTGGATGCAAACCAAGGCGATATTTCAGTTCTGAAAACTCTGATAACTCTAATGATTCTCACGATTCTCACGATTCTGACATGTCAGATAGATATAGAAAAGTTATGACAAAGGGAGACAGGAATTGTCAGGATTGTTGTGAAAGGTCTGGTTGTAGGAGAGGCGTGTGTATTGGTAGAACCTGTCGGTGTAGGCAATGTAAGTAATATGAAAATAGGTTAATGTGGTATGAGTGCCAAAGAGACTACTATCAAGCACGGACCAAATGAAGTGGATGTAAGCATCAATATGTCAACATACAGCTTTAAGAAATTAGTAAAGTGCGCGCGTACCGTACCGTAAAGGAAGTATAATATACCATAGCATAATAATCATAAATATTGCACCAAAAAATTGAAGACACTATGAGAGCACTCACAAACCGTGCATTGGAGATAAAAAAAACAAATACTATGAAAGCATGCACAAAAACTGATGCTGGCAACGAAAAGGAATCTTAAGGAAATCAGGTGATTCGAAAGGGTATGCAATTGCTTATTCATATTGAACTCGTTTAAGGAAGTCGTGTTGAAACCTTGAGAAAAGACAAGAACGAAGAAAGAAAATGTGACTATAGCTAACGTTAACAGAACATTCTTAAGTATGAAACAATTGTTCATTAAGGTAACAATAGATTACCGATGTTCAAATCTAATTAATTGGTTTCGAAGGCAAATCAAGGTAACAAACAAAAAACTGAGAAAATCGCGTGCGCTCTATAAAAAAGGAGCGAGACCTTGTTACGTCGACAGAGTAAGAGTAAGCATGCATAACGGTTGACCAATTTATGATGGCGACAGTTAAACTTTCGAAGCCAACAACTATCAACCATGATATGAAAAGAAAGTTTTTAACTGCATAGTTTTGTTTTTATCATAATCACTTCAATTGTAAAAATATTGCATAACAAAGTGTAATGTATCATTGTTGACAAAGGGTTAGACATTTACAATTCCAAATGTAAAAAAAAAATTAATGAAAATATTTTGTGTTTAAAACAAATAACTGGATATTAATATTTTTCAGGTTAGTTCATATGCAGAACGTTTTAAAGCTGAATTCACATTACTTTTTTGCTCAAATAAAAAGTGTTTTCCTAATTATGATACAAAATAAAAATGGGTTTCTACATACTGATAGGAAAAGCTAAATATAATTAGTTTAACTGAAGAGAAAGTTGTAAATAAATAGAACGCTTTATTTTGAATGTTAACTGCAAGCGGTGGAAGGGTACATTAAGTTAACACATACATCGAGGCAACAGTTTATTATATCAATTCCTGCTAAGTTAGAGTTAATGGGGAGATTGTGTTTCCCAGTGACCCCAAGAGTTATGCTAGCATACATTGTCTCCTGGTAGGATATCCACAATCGAGAGGTCAAGGATAAAGCCCAAACTAAAGCGATTAGAACGTCGAATAAGCTGATGATGAAAATAAGTATAGGTATTCCAATCTGTTGGCCGTGTATTGTGACCCGTGTCGGGAGAGGACGGGATCTTGGAAGATTTCCCTTGCTTTTTCTTCCCCCCCCCCCCCCCCCCCCCCCTGCTTTTCTTACTGAACACAAGACCTGGGGTCGGATCGACCAGCCACATTAATTGGCTGATTACGCCTAACCCTACAGATTTAACCTTTCATCTTCATCTTACGATGTTCTTTTTTCATGATATTTTTTAAAGATGTTTTTCACATTTTATATATTTAGAAAGCTGTGGATCAAGGTCGATCATATAGATGTAATGTTTAAGATTTGTTTGTTTGGAAACCACGGGCAACAAGCATGTTTCTATATAAAGTGTCTTCGTGGAAGTGGAATTTCCTTATGTTCTTATTTAAATTCTGTCTCTTTTCAATTTGAATGAGATACAATACGCAAAGGATCGATTAAGGGTTTCAGTTGAACTCTGGACAGCCTAGTTGGCAGATGGTGGAGTTAGGTATTAACTTCGGTTTCACTATTGAGACGTCAATAAATCAACATTGGGTATGAGGAATTCCCAAAGACGGTGGAGCGATTCAAATGACGACAAGTTATGTTGAATCTAAACCTTCTGCAAAGATAAATTAATTTCTAGTGGAAAAGGACAAAACATAAGTAAAGTTGTACTTCAAGTTATTTTTTTTAAATTACAAAATATAGAACTCTTCTAATTAAATTCAAAATACAACAACTGTTTAGTTACAGTCTGCTAATCTCTTTAAAGCTCACACAAAACGTTGGAACCCATGTTTTCAGTTTTTCCGCATACTACGTACACTCAACCAGGAGACAGTGAGGGATATCATCATCAATTAAAAAAACAACTTTCCCTCAATCCACTGATTTGATAAAATAAACAAAACTCCATCTAATCTAGTCAGTCTAAAAAACAAATAAAAGCCCATCTAACCTTAAAAAAAGAAATCTTTTATTGACAAGAGAAAAATAAGGGAAAAGTATCTGGATGTTCCAGGAAATCAGACAGGAATTCAGTTTATAAGTTTTACCGGTTCAACTAACTGGAAAAATGTCAGGAAGATAACAATATTAAAATGTGGCCTCGATGATTAACAGGTAGACAACACATTATGCTCCTAAATAAGTAAATGTATAGATTCAGACGGATGATCATATCCCGATTCGTCTCAGTAATCAACGATCAACATTATAATAAAATTGAAAAAAATCATGAATATCTATCCTGTACCGAGTCAGAAATATGACAGTTGTTTCCATTCGTGTGATGTCTTTTAGTTTTTGATTTTGCAATTTGATAAAGGACTTCCTGTTTTGAATTTTCCTTGCAGTTCGGTATGTTTGTTATTTCCTTTTTTCCATTTTGTTATTTTGTTAATTTTTTTTTTTGAAGAAGTTCGTTTGAGATATCAAAATGTCCTTTATGGATCACGTCAACGACCAATATTCCTCCCTAAACCTAAAAAATAATGATACTAATCAACTTGTTAGTTATAAGCATTTAGCTGCAATTAGATCTAATAAAAAACACTAAATTTGGTGCAGTCTATACTGATGAAAATAGAGTATCGCTTGGTTTGATGATAATGGAGTTCATCCATTCATCCAGGACCAGGAAGCCTAAATACCTTAAATGGTAACATTTTCAAAAAGAGATAAAGTTGCAAAAATATGTTCATAAATATATATTTCTCTATTTTACCGTCAATGTCGTTTTTTACTTCCTATCCTGTAATCTCCGTGAACTGGAAGTTATTGTACGGTATGACGTCGCTGAGTGGAAGTTGCAGTACAGACATGCTCCTCCCATTAAACATCATTACGATTTATAGAACAGACAATTGCATATGGAAGCACATAAAACCATAAGAGAATTTGAATCAATTAAGAACAACAATCATTTAAAGGAAAATAATATTACAACCCATGCCTTCTCTCAAAATAGATCACAAGTTCATTATCATTCCTTTTGTTCTATTTTATTAACAATGCATTTATTTACATTGCATTTGTAGAACTTCAAATTCCAAATTCATTAATGACCTACAAATTCTCATAAAAACACCCAGAGCAAAATCGTTCTATAAGACACGCTTTAGGACCACATTAGATGTCATATTGAAAGTGCATAATCATCAGAGATCAAAGATAAAATCAGTTCATAATAATAAAAAAAAAATGATAATAGGGAATGTACAGTTCCGGAATTGATATTGATGTTCCAGCATAAAAGGCAATTAATAACAATATTGTTGTTTTTCTATTTGACTATGGTAGTATCTGTTTTTCATTGACTTGTGGATTCTTATGCCCCCCTTGATATCTTCTCTTTTTGTCTCTCATTTTAGATAATATTCACGTCGTTAAGAGATAATTAAAGTCAGAAATATCAACTATTAGATCTAACAGACACAGCAAGATGAACAAAAGTAAAATTAAACGTACCAAATTAACTATATTTGAAGTACCCACCTGAACCACAATTTATCATAAACACTAAAATTTCGAAAAGATTGAATGCAAAGTTTATGTAGATAAAAAGGATTAATAATAATTGACTTAATAAATCCCACTTTGAATGACAGAGTTAAAATCTTATTGTTAAAACACACATGTACAAGAAAAATTATGTAGTCTTTACCGGCGTCACACATTGGCGTATAGACCTACGTGCACCAGACGTACAGAGAAAATTGACTAAATTCATATACTTTAGGTGTACGCAAGAGGAACGCTAAGCAGTTGTTAGACGCGCGTTACGTCGAAATGCAAAGGTATACGCTTGATGAACGCTACAGCTCCAGGAAATTTTTATGCAGCATAAAAATTTTCATCTAGCTCTAGCGTTTGTCAAGCGTATACCTGTTCGCTACACGCACGTAATACATACGTTACAAGCGCGTTGAAAAACGCTACAGATAAGTTTGAGACACGTTTAGGGCACGTTGTATACGCTCCTAGATCGTTCGACTTTTACTTGGACGTATACGGGGCGTGTTTGTAACATACGCATGGCGTAGTTACAGCGCTCCGTGAACGTATAAAAACGCACCCATGGCGTATCAAAAACGTATTCTGACATTCAACGAAACTTGCTCGTAGTGGCATATGTCCGTTATACTAATTTGCATATCCAAGTGTATGTATAAAATGGTATAAAAGGTTGGGCAGTGTTCAGTTTTGCATTTGCTATAATGGATTGCCTAGAGAGAGTCAGGAGGGCTTAACATGCACCATTACTTACAAGGCATTAGAAGGCATTGAAGAAGTCAGCGTATCAAGGAGAAAGCAGTTCGGATTGTATGACCAACTATTAGTTGAACTTCGACAAGCATCGGGTTTCCAAACAATATACATGGTTCCGGTAGGTTTTTTTGTTATGGCTTAAAAAACTTTTCGTTTTTTGTCATTACGAATACAGTAAAATAATCAGTATGCAATAGTAGTGTCCGACTGTCTGATAATCAAGTCACGTCCGTAAATTATCAATAATCAACTGCAAGCTGTAAGTAACCAAGTACACAATATTGAATCTAGAAAAGTAAAAAAAAAAGCCGCCATTTTGCTGCTGGATCGACATATGCCGATATGAAATTTTCCTGGAGAGTTCCTGGTAACACCTTGTCTGTAGTTGTCAGGGAAGTATGTAGCGCAATTATTGATGAATATACAGATGAGGTCATGAATCCTCCAAAGCAATTGCTGATCAATTTATGCGCAGATGGCATTTTCCACATTGCTGTGGAGCGTTGGATGGAAAGCATATTACCATAAATAAACCAGCTCGTTCAGGTTCATTATACCACAACTATAAGGGATTCTTCTCCATAGTCATGCTAGCTTTGGTTGATGGTGGTAACAAGTTAACATTGGTAGATGTTGGAGGTAAGATATTTATATACTTGTAAAAGTCCTTTAAAACGTTAGAAAAACTAACAAATTTTATTGCTTGTAATACTGTTTCAGAAACTTATATAACAAATTCGTAAATAAGCAAAGCGTCCAATCCATAAAACAAAGGGAAATCAAAGAGCATCAACAAAGCAACATATCATCGTGTTTATATATATTGTGAACGAATATGACGAAAACTCAAGAGTCGAAACACGTGCCATTCGTGGCAAAATTAGTTAACCTCGGTATCTTTGACGACATTTACTTTAGCATACATGTAAGTCACTCAAGAATTTACATATACATGTATACATTTGTAAATATTCATCATGAGATTTTATATTTCTTCATATATGAAACTTTTTGCGATAATTTCATATTATTTCTACATTTTAGGAAACGGTGCCTGTTCTGATGCTCAGATGTATAATGAGTCCGAATTAAGAGAAGCAGAGGAAGATGGAACCATAGGCTTCCTCGATGCCGAGCCTCTCTCAAATGATACCGAAGACGTTCCCTACTATTTCAGTGGAGGTGACGCATTTGCCCTAAGAACGACGATGACGAAACCCTACTCTCATAGGACAATGGACAGAGAAGAACGTATATTCAGTTATAGGCTTTCGCCAGCAAAGCGTGTTGTGGCCAACAGATTCAGAATTCACCTCTCAACAATGGGTCATTCCCCATCAACAGTTCATCATAAAAAAATACAAGGCATACAGGATACTACAAAATTCTTTATAATTTGCAAGGCATT